CTTCATAATAATCGTGTTTGGTTCGTGCTTTTATGAGGAAACATACACAACGTGGTTCGCATCCCTTCTATTCAGTCATTTACTTCAGTCATTTAACTCAAGGTTGCATACTCCAACATCCAGACTTTGAAATAATGTTTGCATGTTGATACGCTTGTAAATGACATTAACGTCTAAAGTCAAAATTCTCTTGGGATTTAATTCACCAATCCAGCCAACCATGGTTTCCTAAGTTGTTTATATATAATCAGATAGTATTTCGTCATCATGCTTTGCTGCCTCTCTTGTTTATACCCCCTGCGGGTGTTTTATGGCGAACGGAAGTCCTTCACAGTGTTATGGTTTCTCATATTTAAATCATCATAACTCATCATTTTTTAAAAATTTATAATCAATATACATAACCCAGGAATACAAACATCAAATTAGGCTCTATTTAGTTCCCCTTTAAGAATATTATTTCCAAATCTAAGATTTCCCATCATAACTGGTCTAATTGTAAGTATTCATTTAGCGTGGTTTTACTGGATATATTCGCTGATACGTATATACCATTTACATTTGGCTGTCACATATTATGATTTTATATTTCCCTCAATAATTGTTTCATCACGTTTGTTTGAAATAATTAGGCTGTACTCAAGCGGGCACGGCGGGACAATGTTGCAACCGATTAATAACAAATATATTTTGCAGTTTGATTTGGTTTGTGGGAAGGATTTCATGAAACAACTATCTAAGTCAGTAAGCGCATCTGGGGAACTTATTGGCAGCCTCATTTTCGGCCAAGTTGCTGACGTGTAAGTATATATTGTAGCACATGAACTATATTAAATTAAATCGGAATAAATCGCCTCAAAGTGAATAGAACTATTTTCTTCCCTATAATTGGAATATTACTGTCATGATACTATAACATAAATTACCGGATTTTTGTTATTTCCCAACAACCTGAAATACGCAAAGTGAAGGATGATATTAAATCCAAATATTCACATGCTCCATTTCGATCTACTATATTCGACATTTATATACTATAATGTTATTACGAGAATATCTCAAAGTATGCACGAAGACAGTAAATCTGGTGTAACGACCGACGCGTAGGAAGGTCGATGTGCCGCGTACTGTCTGAGTGCATACTTTCCAACGATACACCATGGGAATGTCAAAATTCAAAATGTTTAGAACATATTCAGCGAACTTATTTGTGTTGAATCCGATCAAACTCTTGTGGTAGCCATGTTTTTATTAAGAGAGGACGCTTACACGCGTAATAATGCCATATTTGGAATTCGCATTTCCTAATATGGTAGAATAAAAATACCCCGTAAAATATCGCAAAATTACGGCACGCTGTAACTTATAGATTTACTGTGAAAGATATATAATAATATATATACACTTACATTTGTTTCCTCTAGATATGGAAGGAAACCAACAGTGCTTGTAGCAGGCATACTTTGTCTTATATTCGGCATTTGTACTGCGTTTGCACCGTCATTTGTCACTTTCATCATAGGAACTTTCTTGTCAGCTTTTTCTGCGTCAGCTATTTGTTTGGTCATATTTGTACTTGGTAAGTATATAATTCATTGTTATCAACATTTACTCAGTGATAATTATTTTCGAATGAAAAACCTACTCAAATACCAAACCACTATATTTCTTTCTTCATGTGTACACATATTACATATTTTGCTACGAGTGGAAAATATGTTCGAACAAAACTAATGTACATATCGGACTGACACAAACATATGATTCGTTATTTTGCAGACATTTCATTTTCAAGTGACAATAGTATCTGACATTAGTTTGTATTGATTTTGCCGTTACCCTGTAGAACTTTATGAAACATCGACAAATAGCCGTCAAGTATTCGTAGCTGAAATTTAACCATGTTCCAGAAATTACGCTTTCTGTTCAGGATTCTATCGTGGGATTTCTTAGCGCTATTTGTGAGGGCGACCGAATGCTAGAATGTCTGAATAGATGGAATGGTAGAAATAACAATAATAGCCGATATAAATGAAACACAAGTAGTTTGAAACAAATGTATTTATTTTGGTGTATAATGTTTTTGCTTCCGACTGGCTGCAGTTGTCAAGTGACATGATTCATAAATAACAATTAAGGTAGCGGGACTATTATTTGCATACTTGTTTTCATCCTCTAATTGTGACTAAATGACTACAAATAGACCCGGGAAAGTATATATTTTTAGAATCGCCAAACTTCAAGCTTTTCACAAGTGTATTTTGCATGCCCGTATCTGCATTCTATGACGCGTTACTCAATCAAAGGTGAAAAATTACTTTTTCTGTAAAAAAAAAAATTACGCATTTATGCTGGCAATAAGAAGTATTTTTTTTTCACTTTTCCTAGTTGTTCAATAGTCTGGTAAATTGAATGTGTCTGGTTAGTTTTATTCAAGCAACGCGTTTTAAAAAATAGTGTCCTGAATTTCAATTACTGTTTTAGTCGCATTGCCCCCAACTCAAACCACAACTCGTTGGTAAATAATCGATGAAATAGTTTGTCTGGACACATTCAAGTTCCTCTCATTGTCACCTTAAAGCTGTTAAAATTTGGTGTTAATCCGACGACAATAAGTATACGTTATTTTTTGTTAAAGACCTTGTATTTTGAAAAACATAAATTCCTAGAAAACGTCCATGAAGTAACAGCAAAGATTTTCAAGCTTGTTTATCGGCACAATCAATTTGTTTTCCCATCAAGGTCTGTTTTACCATGTGTAGGGACATCCAAATGTGCAAGGCTATTGGAAACCAAAAAATAAAGGAATGGGATAGCTATAATTGGATAAATTCGGCATATGAAAACACCAAAATCAATGATTTTTTTTCAGTGGCTGTGTGACCTTGTGTCTGACACATTCATATGCAAATGACTAATCTGTGAAACAAACAGGGGCGGATACAAACCACTCAAATGTTTGGAAACACTCATTGTGTGTCAGATAGCTACTGATAACACATCCTAACATTGCTTTGTCTTGAGTTTATCTTTGAAACTTATAGGCACACAGATTAAACCTGTGTTGTTGATTTTGGAAAACACTACTGAGGCTGCCTTGCTTCCCTTCAGAAAATCTACATTTTAACCAACTTACATGACATTCTATGTTATATTGACTTTATCATATGAAAGTTTATGGTGCATTTCATCAATTAATAAATAAATGTGAAAATCGTAATTTTCAACACAAATAATAGTCTCGCTACCTTAAGGTAACTTTGGAGATTAAACCAAATATAAGGTAAATCAATTTTAATCTGCGAAGTTTTACTGTTTCCCTGAAATTAAAATGAAAATGAGTTATTGTGTTGTTATAGCAACGGAAGCCACGCCTACATCACGAAGACCGCTAATATCCAGCGGCTGCTCCTTATCTTATTCGGTAGGTTATCTGTTCCTTGGAATAACAGCATATATTGTGCATGGTAACTGGAGATTACTTCAATTTATAAGTGGGGCAGTATGTCTGCTATTCATACCATATTTCTGGTAAGTTAAACACATTGTATAACTTTTAATGTACGTTCCTGATGATTTACGTCACATCCGGACATTTCTTTTGTTTACATAAGCCGTGACATAAACATAACAGTTTATGGAAATAGAATCACGATGAAATGAGGTCAATTTGGAAAACTCCTATCTGACAGATAGCCATGCACGTACATTGATCCTTATACAATCAGTAACCTTTTATTGAATATATATAGTTTGCCAATTCTGTTACAATAAGGAAACAATGGACTTTTTATGGTAGACAACCTTTTCTTTCGACAAAGCAGTACACTTTTTGGCCAAAGTTATAATTTGTAAACCCTTCATCCGGAATAGCTTTCCAAATTATGGTGACAATGCTCTTTAATTAGCAATATGTAGTACATGTCAGTACGAATATTTGAGTCAATTAAAGGCATTGTGTAATTATAAATTTGAACTGTACTATTGCCTTTCGACTACCTCGATGAAGTTTAAATAAATATTATCCTAATTTGTTTTAATTGTGTTGACAGATGAAAAATTTAGCAAAATATGATTTTACAGGATCTTAGAAGAATCAATTAGATGGCATTTGCAGGCTGGTGAAAATAGAAAAGCTAGAATAATTATAAACAGAGCTTCAAATATGAATGGAGATACAATGAACGAAGAGTTGTTTGATGTTGGATCCATGTGCTCGGTGGTAGAGGTAGGTCAAAAACTGTATGCTTTGTATTGTATCTACAATGTGGGTATGTTTTGTAAAATAATGATTTTCTTTCTGAAATTCAGCAGCAGAGTGAGCGCAAGTCAATGTTTACACTTTTCAAGACACCTGTTATCCGGAAAAGAATTCTAATTACATCATTCTGTTGGTGAGTTTATTTTAAGGTAGTTTATTTGCAAGGGAAATGCTGATCTACAATTTGAAAGAAAGGCGTACGTGAAAACATCAAACCTATACATGTATATATTTAGGAAGACCCTGGTTTAAAGATTCGATTAAACACCGATGACTGGTAGCATAGTGGCTGTCGCATCAGACTCATGATCGATAGACCTATGGTTCAAATGCTTGGGGAAACCTTGGTTAAGGTCCGCAGGTGCTTGTGTTCGACCGAGCCGGGTTGACGACGGGTTAGTGCATTAAATTGCCATTTGATAGGAAGTTGGCCGCACAGCCCTGTCGTGTAGTCCAAAATATGAATATGACTTCCTCTGCTGACTTATGTGTCAGCACTAGCACATGCAATTTGCACTTACAAAGACAAGTCAGGAGAGACAACAGTCAATGTCCAAAACTGTCGCCCGGCAAAATAAAACAAAGTTTCGATTAATATTGTTTTTTTCAATATTGTGTTTATTTTATGGCCACATGACCTCCAAAATCAATTCGTCTGGTAAATTTGTAACATGGATAACATTGAACATGGCGGCACCACTAATGATGACAGTGACCCCGGAAGTCTCGTTATCATTAAAGGAGGTCTTGAAATTCGATCCTGTATTTCTAATTTTTCCATTTGTTTTATTTTTTTTCCTGAACAAAAGATTCATTTCGTGTAGTGTAGATGTAGTCCGTTTTTGCGCAACAATAGTGAAAAAGTGCCGCATGAGTCAGTTGAAACTAAAATACGAAAATGAAGCTTACGTCCTATAGAATCCATGCGTTCAATCCACAACTTAGTGGCGGTGACCGGAACAACGACATTCACATCGATGTGCTCCGGAAACAAACACTGGGAAAACGAGACAATTGTGAATTCTTACTTTTTTGTTTAGCACATTTGTTTAGCCTAACAACTTCAAATTCAGTTATTTTGAACATCGACATAAAAACAGGACATCGGTCGCTGTTTCGTTACTGTTACAACTCGATTTATTGAGTTTTCTATAATCATGTTTTTCAACTGCCCTCTTGAAAACGCATAGTGATGTAACTAATTATAACCCGCGATTATGCAAAGTGGGCGGTATTGTTGTCACATATCGCAAACAAACCTTATCTCCCACTTGAGGTTGAGTGTTATCATTTTTTTTCGTCCGTTTTATTTGAGGCTCAGTTTACTTCAGTCCCGGACTTTAGTATGTCGCGAGTTGCAAAAACATTCAATGGCAAAATGCAGTGACAACATTACGAGTCGTCGTTAATTTCTCCAGGGTTCTTACTAGCCCTGCTTTCTGAGATTAAAGCCATGTCTAAATTTTCAGCGACCTGTTGTATTTCCTGTTCGCCCTGGTCCCAGACAAAGAGTTGTTTACAAAACAGACCATCAGTTGAAAGCTCCGGCTTTTTATCGTAGACGGTCACCGTTCGGTGATAATACTGCCAAACGAAAAGTTATATGTTTTTGAACATGATTAAAAATATAACATTTGGCCTAGAATGTGTAGTACCGTACCCATATTTTTACTGTCAAGGTTACGTTAAATATATAAAGTCGATATCGGTAAAACATTCGTCAAAACATAAGGTCCATGGGTAAAACCAAGTTTACGCCGTCACCTGTAGCGGCAACAACGTCCCCGTCGAGCAAAGGCAGCCCTATGAATAGAGTAAAATAGAGCAAAAAGTATAAAATACTGACCAACATTGTGGAAGGAAAATAGTGTGTCAATACATAATGAAAATACTACTACTAAATAATATCTAAGTAACCTATCTTAGGGACTATATTCCTGACATATGGCTTTCTCTTCACTCATTCCATGTTTTACAATGATTTATTTTAGCCACATGTAAACCTTTATCTTCAAAATGCATCTCAATCTATCATAGTAACAGTATGCATGAAAAAAATGAGCTGATTTCATTGACTTCTGATAGTTTGGTATTCAATCACAATTATAAATGAGAGCCAATGTTGTTGTGTTTTATTTTTCCAGGTTCGCGATTGGATTGATGTATTTCGGTATTTCTTTAAACGTCAACTTTTTTGCTAAGAATCCTTATGTTATTTTTGTGTTTACTGCGGCAGTTGAAATACCTGCTGCTTTGCTGAACTGCTGGTTACTGCAAAGATATCAACGGCGAATAATACAATGTATGACGTTGATATCGTCGGCAGTAGTTTTGATGATTGGCGGAATCTCCGGTAAGTTGTAACCTCTTGCGCACAGCATGAAAGCATTTTTAATGAATAGTTGTTGACTGTACAGATTTGTTAATACTCTTGTAAGTTCGACCCCTAATTCAAATAGTATATGGTTTTGAATACAGGTTGTTCACGGACTTGTTATTAGGCAAGATCAATAATGATAATTTTGTATTTATGTATTATGTATGTGTGAAGGATTCTCCCAACATTCTCTAACATTTCAATGTATTGGCGATCCGCTCCGCTAGGATTGCCCTTATAATCACTTTTGTCGTTTTGTGTGTGTGTGTGTCTGTGTGTGTACATTTCCAGTGTTCCAGTGTTCACGTATTATTTCTTCTGTGATTTTTTTGGCTTGGCCGATTTCGTTCAAACTTGGCAGGTAGGTCACACCTTCACCCTAGTTATTAGGAAAAATCTGCAAAAAATTTTGGCCCACCGTTGCCATAGCAACAGCCAAAAAACTGATTTTTGGATAGCTTCGCGCCAAATGTATCTCCTCCTACAAATTTGGGATAAAACATTTCAGACATAGCTCATTTTACTCAGCTTGAGTGTGGGCACAAAGTTACCATTTGAATTTTTGATATCTGTTTTCATTACCGAGAAATTTGACCCTAAAGTTGGGGTAACTTTTCCCCAGCAACGGCTTTTAACTCCTCTGTGATTGTTTTGGCT